ACTGAATTTTTAAGTGTATGTCTCTCATGTAAATTTAAAGTTATTTCATTGACATGAGAGGTGAGTGAATTCATAAATTATTTATATCGAACCAGCAGGTATGGGAAAATTGCTCTTTTCTTAATTTATACTTTATGACTTTTTCATCCAAGCTATAAGGAGAAGTTCTAATTAAAGAAATGGGTAACTAAGAAGTGGTTGTATGTAGGAAAATAACATGATCAAATAAGAATTTTTAAAATATGTAATTATTTATAGTGAGAAACTACTTCACTAGAAATTAGTGAAGATTAAAAAGACTGACCATGCCAAATGTTGGTGAGGATGTGGAGCAACTGGAACTCTCATACATTGCAAATGAGGATTTGAATGATGCATACACTTTAGAAAGCAAAGGCTAGTATTTCCATGAGATTCTGTACTTTTTTAACAGGCTAACTTTAAAAGTACAGATTTTTTAGATAGAGAAAAGCAAATTATACACAAATATTTTGCTACATTTATTTTTTTTAATTGTTATCAATCTCTGCATAAATACTGGTATATAAGCACACACACACATGCACATAAAGAGTAGAGTAGGGGGAAAGGAAAGAGGGAGGTAAAGGGAGAGGCCTTGAAGTAGACAGCTATTTGAAGATGCTCTGGGGAAATTGATAATTTATTATTATTCTCTCATTTTTAAGTCATCCAAATTGAAGGTTATAAACACACACACACACACATATATATATATATATATATATATACACACAAGAAGACATATACATATGTGTATATATGTATATATGTATATAAAGCATTTTATATAATGTTTTTATATGTTACACACTTACATAAGTATAATAGATATGGGTATGCATGTGATAAAGACAGAAATTTCTTACTGTTTGTATTTTCCTATATATCCTTATAAACATATAAATGTATATTAATTAAAATACCTACTTGAGAACCAGGTATCCTAGGTTAAAATTCCAGCAGTGATGCTTACTTTTAGAAAATTTCCCTATAGGCCTATTGCATTTCTTCACAGTCTGTGACTGAAGACAGAGATTGTACTCTGAGACTTTTTTTCACAGTTATTAGTATAATCCCAGAAAATAGAGAAAGTGTCTCTCTTCCAAAGGGCACACTTACTTTCTTGAAAGAGAGATATTGTCTCTTTCCAAAGCAAAAGACTGCCATACTTACTTCCCATAATTTTGTAATAGAAACCATGCATTATGTAGTCCTCTGTCTTGAGCCATACTTTCTGTCCTCACTGGACTTACTGAGAAGAGGAATTGAAAAAAAATATGCTGAATTTCAAATGTTTACTGTGCTATAAGTAATAAAGTATTTTGTTTCTGACCTAGGAATCTAATGTCTTTGACCAGCATCCATAAAATTGTATTAGACTAACTCATTCTCTTATAAGTAGGGTAAAGGTTTAAAGCCTTCACAGTTCTTAACATATACTAGCTCATATCTTTGGACATTGCCTTAATTTCCTAGAGCTGTTGTAAGAATATATCATAAAATGGGTAACTTAAAACAACAAAAATGTATTCTGTAATTTTTCTTGAGGCTAGAAGTCTAAAACTAAGTTGTCAGTAGGGCCATGCTCCATGCTCTCTCTCTAGGTAAAATGCTTCCTTGCCTCTTTCTAGCTTTTGGTGATGGCTGTCCATCCTCGGTGTTTCTTGGCTTGTGACTCTATCACTTTAATTTCTGCATCTGTCATCACATGGCATTCTCCCTGTGTAACTGTGCCTACATCCAAATTCCTCTCTTAAGTACACCAGTCATATTGGATTAAAAGCCACCCTACTCCAGTGTGACCTCATTTTAATGTAATTACCTCTATAATGACCCTCTTTCCAAATAAGTTCACATTTGGGCTACTGGGGTTTAGGTCTTTACCATACATTTTTGAATTTTGAACATCATTCAGCCCATTATGAACATGTTATATAATGTCTCAGCATCTCAAGTACCTCATTGGTAAGGGAGGAATGATTATTATCAATATGATGAGATTAATTGAATTATATATAAGACTCTTTGATGAGCACCTGTTAGATGTTTAATTGTTATTATTACTATTATTCTCATCATATACACATATGCATACCTAACTATAACAGAAACATTATCAGTTCTTTCTGGGAGGACAGAGATAGTGAAGGCTATCAATAATTTAATATTTTATTAAATATTAAATAACATTGTGATTAACAGTATATTCTTAATGTCAAAATTTTGAATTGATATAATACGTTTTTACTCAGTTATAGTAAAACTGCATCTATAAAATAAAACCCTAGTATTTAACAACCTAGAGCGAATTGGGATTTTGAATATTTAAGTATATTACACATACAGTTAGAAATTCTAGAGCTTTAGAAAATGTCAAGTTGTTATGCATTGATTAAAAATTATTGATGTAGCTCTTGACAAAACAAGTTTAGTAGCACTTGCTAAAACTCATGAAGTGTGTAATAAAATTAAGTAACAATTATGTAAATATAATCTCACTTCAGTGTTACTCAAGAACATTGTAAAATAGTATCTAGCATCTCTGAATTTCAGATAATATATGTTTTCAAACCTGGGTTCAGGTTTAGGTAAAAGTGTCCTGATTTATGAATCTATTTATTTCTTCTTTTAGCACACTTATTCTCATTTACCTTTGATCATCTGGGTCATATGTCAAGCCACTACTACACGACTTCATGTTTAGGTTAATGTGTAAAATACAAATAATATATTTACATAGTATATGCTATATTAATTACTAGTATCTCCATGAATTTAATAAATGTTAAAGTCAAAAGCTCACAGTTTTATTATAATATTTGTAGCCTGATTTTATTTTTTTAGCATTTTTATTGATTCAACTCTTCAAGCACTGCAGTAGCTGCCTATGAATGTTACTCTTTCCTTAAGTATTTTGAATAGTATACCATGCCAAAAAATAAGAACTTAATGAGAAAATAACAATAGAAATAGCAGTAAAGTGTCAAAGAATCTACATTATCAAGCAAATGAATAAAACTCTTCTTTAAGGCAGCTTCTTATATCACACTTTGAAATTGACCTTATACCTATCAATTTCAATTATGGTCCTATTATTCATTTAAAAAGTCATTCTATTCTCAGCTCTGTGTGCCTCAATTTAATATTTATAAACAAGCTTATATTTCATAACTCTTTACTGAAGGCATATACTTAAAACCGAATCTGCATGTGTCATTGGTTTAAAAAATAAAAAAACCTAGGACATTGAGAAAATAATTCTGTCTGGCATAATTGCCACAATGTTTGGATTATCATTATTTCCAGATTTCTATGTTAAAGTAAAGACAGTTGCCAGTAAAGGGGAAATCTCAACATTTGGAATAAGAAATTCTGGAAGGTTTTGAAAAACTTGAAAAAAAAAAATGGACCTCTAAACCTCTCTCATAATGCTTCCCATTGCAATTTCTATCCTTGAAAAACCTGAGGATCTTTTGAAAGAGAAAACTAAAACTTCCGTCATGTTTCAAGATTTTTTTTTCTAATCTTAGTCACTAAATATTTAACAAATACATTACTAGAGATAAAATGATGAAAAAAATTCATACTATTGAGAGATGTGTAGGTATAACTTTTTGATAGATTTTCAACCTACAAGAATGGAACATACTGTTGAACCATATTCAAAGTACATTCATTTTGTGAATTTGGGAAGCCAGCGGTTGTTCTCATTGTTTTATGGTGTGGTTTAACAAGACTGTGATCAAATATTGACTTCTGACATGAAGCATAAAAGTAATAGGAAATACGTTATGCATAGGGAAATTAATTCAAAGACAAGAAAAAAAACCACCACCTACTTACTCCAAATTTTACCTAAGAAGGTCCATGCTCATAGAAAATAAATTGATGAGAATGGCACCATAATCTTGAAAACAAAATTTACCAGTTGTTTTTGGTACACAAGGAATTACAGCCAAAATAAATGATATTGAAATAAGATCCATCATCTCAGTGAAGTTGGAGGGGGTCACTAGCATTAGTGCTATAGTAGTTATGGTAAGAAACAAAGTGTACAAAGTCATTAAATAGGCAGCAAGGGTGATTCCGTAATCTTAGTGAGTGATCGAAAACATAGAGCTATTTGGCTACATATAATTGATGCATTTCCGAGAAATGAAAATTATAGGCAACCTATTAGTGTCTTACTTGAATTGTGTAACTAATACAAAATAAAACAAAATCAGAAAAAAAACTTACAAATTCTTTCTCATATAACATATACCTTCCATTTGTTAAATTGATGCTGAGATATATCCAGTGATCAAGACTTAAATACTTGTGAGAAGTCACCAAGACCTCTGCCATTATCAAGAATTGGGGGGGGGGCAGGCGAGATGGCAGAAGAGCAGGGTCCCCAAGTCACCTCTCACCACCAGCTTACCTAGATAACTTTCAAATCATCCTGAAAACCTACGAATTCGGCCTGAGATTTAGAGAACAGCTGGAAAACTACAGAGAGAAGGATTTGTGCTTCTAACAAGGTAGGAAGATGGGGGAAAAATAAATAAGAAAACAGTGGGGGAGGGGTCCCGTGAGGAGCCGGGCTAAAGCCGCCCGGCAAGAGCCTCCAGGACAGGAAAGCCCAGTCCCAGAGTCGCAGGAAATTTACCAATCTTCCCGGACAGAAAGGCGCTCCCAGGGAACTCGGGCCGGATCCCAGGAGGGGCAGTGGAGCCCCGAGGTTCGGGGTCACTAACAGAGGAGCTGCGCCCCGGGGTGCAGCATGCAACACACTGTGGGCCGAGCTCCGTAAAGGGCTAGAGCGACCGGCAGGGCCCGGGAGAAGCTCGGGTGGCGTCTTCCCACGGAGGGGGCTGTGCGGCCCGAGAGCGCGATTCCGGTGGTGCAGGCCCCGAGCCGAGGGTCCCGGGGGACACAGCCCAGGAGCCGGCGCTCCCCCGCGCCCCCCCCCCCCCGCGGGATAGGTGGAGACCGGGATGACACAGGACAGCAAGGACACTCCTGCTCATTCTGCAGGAGCTCCTGCCCGAGCTGTGCAGGTCAGTGCCCCCATCCCTGGAGCATCAGACCAGTGTGGACTGGAAGACTGCAGGAGTTACTGCGGGACTGGACCCAGGGCTGGAGAGCTGGCTGCCAACCACTGTTGCTGTTCCTCCTGGTGTCACCCTGTGCCTGGGAGGGTCTGGGCGACCAGGAAACAGAAGCCCCATGGGATAAATAGCTCCCAGTGAGTCGGGCACCTGGCGGGGGGCGGGGCAGCTCCCCCAGGTGCACACCTGAGAATCAGCACAGCAGGCCCCTCCCCTAAGACCAGCTAGAAGGACAGGGAAAGGGCAAGTTGTTGACTGAGCAGCGCTGAAAAGCTCCAGAGGAAGTCGAGAGAACCAGAGGATACCCCCCCTTGTTTTGTTTGTTTGTTTTGTTTTTGTTCTTTAGGGTTTTTTTTTTCTTTTTTTTTAATCTCTTTTTCTTCTTCCTTTTTCCAGCACAACTTGTTTTTAGCCACTCTGTACTGAGCAAATTGACTAGAAAGAAGAACTCACCACAAAAGAAGGAATCAGAAACATTACTCTCTGCCACAGAGTTACAGAATTTGGATTACAATTCGATGTCAGAAAGACAATTCAGAAGCACAATTATAAAGCTACTGGTGGCTCTGGAGAAAAGCATAAAGGATTCAAGAGACTTTATGACTGGAGAATTTAGATCTAATCAGAAGAAATTAAAAATCAGTTAAATGAGATGCAATCCACATTGGATGTCCTAACAACAAGGGTAAATGAGGTAGAAGAACGAGTGAGTGACATAGAAGACAAGTTGATGGCAAGGAAGGAAGCTGAGGAAAAAAGAGAAAAACAATTAAAAGACAATGAGGAAAGGTTAAAGGAAATAAATGACAGCCTCAGAAGGAAAAATCTACGTTTAATTGCGGTTCCAGAGGGCACCGAAAGGGACAGAGGACCAGAAAATGTATTTTGGCAAATCATAGCTGAGAACTTCCCTATTTGGGGAGGGAAACAGGTATTCAGATCCAGGAGATAGATCCCCCACTAAAATCAATAAAATCCATACAACACCTAGACATTTAATAGTGAAACTGCAAATTCCAAAGATAAAGAGAAAATCTTTAAAAGAGCAAGAGACAAGAGATCCCTAACTTATATGGGGAGAACTATTAGATTAACAGCAGGTCTCTCCACAGAGACCTAGCAGACCAGAAAGGGCTGGCAGGATATATTCAGGGTCCTAAATGAGAAGAATCTGCAGCCAAGAATACTTTATCCAGCAAAGCTCTCATTCAGAATAGAAGGAGAGATAAAGAGCTTCCAGGATAGGCAGAAACTGAAAGAGGATGTGACCACCAAACTGGCTCTGCAAAAAATATTAAGGAGGACTCTGTAAAGAAAGAGGAAGTCCAAGGAAACAACCACAAAAACAGGGACTGAATAGGTATTATGATGACACAAAATTCATATTTTTCAATAGTAACTCTGAACATGAATGGGCTTAAAGATCCCATTAAAAGGCACAGGGTTTCAGACTGGATAAAAAATCATGACCCATCTATTTGCTGTCGACAAGAGACTCATTTTAGACCTAAGGACACTTACAGCCTGAAAATAAAAGGTTGTAGAACCATTTACCATTCAAATGGTCCTCAAAAGAAAGCAGGGGAAGCCATCCTCATATCAGGTAAAGTTTATCCCAAAGCCTATAGTAAGTGATGAAGAGGGACACATATAATACTTAAAGGTATCCAACAAGAGAACCTACCAATCAGGAATATTTTTGCCCTAATGTGGGAACTGCCAAGTATATCAATCAATTAAAATCAAAGTTAAGACATACTTAGACAGTAATAAATTTATACTAGGAGACTTCAACACAGCGCTTTCTGCAAATGACAGATCTTCTAAGCACAACATCTCCAAAGAAACAGCTTTAAATGATACACTGGACCAGATGGATTTCACAGATATTTACAGAAGTTTATATCCAAATGCAACTGAACACACATTATTCTCAGTGCACATGGAACTTTCTCCAGAATAGACCACATACTGGGTCACAAATCAGGTCTTACCTGATACCAAAAGATTGGGATTATCCCCTGGATATTTTCAGACCACAATGCTTTGAAACTAGAACTAAATCACAAGAAGAACTTTGGAAGGAATTCAAACATGTGGAGGTTAAAGACCATCCTGGTAAAAGATGAAAGGGTCAACCAGGAAATTAGACAAGAATTAAAAAGATTAATGGAAATTAATGAGAATGAAGATAGAACCATTTCAAATCTTTGGGATACAGCAAAAGCAGTCCTGAGAGGGAAATACATTGCAATACAACCATCCCTCAAAAAACTGGAAAAAAACTCAAATACACAAGCAAACCTGGCACCTAAAGGAACTGGAGAAAGAACAGCAAATATATCCTACACCCAGCAGAAGAAGAGAGTTAATAAAGATTCAAGCAGAGCTCAATGAAATAGAGACCAGAAGAACTGTAGAACAAATCAACACAACCAGGAGTTGGTTCTTTGAAAGAATTAATAAGATAGATAAACCATTAGCCAGCCTTATTAAAAACAAAGAAGACTCAAATTAATAAAATCACAAATGAAAAAAGAGAGATCACCACCAATACCAAAGAAATACAAATGATTCTAAAAACATATTATGAGCAGCTATACACCAATAAATTAAGCAATCTAGAAGAAATGGACACATTTCTGGAAAACCACAAACTACCAAAACTGGAACAGGAAGAAATAGAAAACCTAAACAGGCCGATAACCAAGGAGGAAAATGAAGCAGTCGTCAAAAACCTCCCAAGACAGAAAAGTCCAGGCCCAGATGACCTCCTTGGGGAATTCTATCAAACATTTAAAGAAACAAGACCTATTCTACTAAAGCTGTTCCAAAAGATAGAAAGAGATGGGATACTTCCAAACTCATTCTATGAGGCCAGCATCACCTCAATTCCAGACCCAAAGACTCCACCAAAAGGAGAATTATAGACTAATATTCCTGATGAACACAGATGCAAAAATTCTCAACAATATACTAGCCAATAGGCTCCAATAGTACATTAAGAAGATTATTCATCATTACCAAGTGGGACTTATCCCCAGGATGCAAGGCTGGTTCAACACTCATACAGCAATCATTGTGAAACATCATATCAAGAATAGAAAAAACAAAGACCATATGATCCTCTCAATAGATGCAGAGAAAGCATTTGACAAAATACAGCATCCATTCCTGATCAAAACTCTTCAGAGTGTCAGGATAGAGGGAACATTCCTCAGCATCTTAAAAGCCATCTATGAAAAGCCCACAGCAAATATCATTCTCAATGGGGAAGCATTGGGAGCCTTTCCCCTAAGATCAGGAACAAGGCAGGGATGTCCATTCTCACCACTGTTATTCAACGTAGTACTAGAAGTCCTAGCCTCAGCAATCAGGCAACAAAAAGAAATTAAAGGCATTAAAGTTTGCAAAGAAGAAGTCAAACTCTCCCTCTTTGCAGATGACATGATACTATACATAGAAAACCCAAAATACTCCACCCCAAGATTGCTAGAACTCATACAGCAATTTGGCATGTGGCAGGATACAAAATCAATGCCCAGAAACCAGTGGAATTTCTGTACACTGACAATGAGACTGAAGAAAGAGAAATTAAGGAGTCAATCCCATTTACAATTGCACCCAAAAGCATAAGATACCTTGGAATAAACCTAACCAAAGAGGTAAAGGATCTATACCTTAAAAACTACAGAGCACTTCTGAAAGAAATTGAGGAAGACACAAAGAGATGGAAAAATATTCTATGCTCATGGATTGGCAGAATTAATATTGTGAAAATGTCAATGCTACCCAGGGCAATTTACACATTCAATGCAATCCCTATCAAAATACCATGGATTTTCTTCAGAGAGTTGGAACAAATCATCTTAAGATTTGTGTGGAATCGAAAAGACCCCGAGTAGCCAGGGGAATATTGAAAAAGAAAACCAGAGCTTCTGGGCATCACAGCTGGATTTCAGGTTGTACTACAAAGCTGTGATCTCAAGACAGTGTAGTACTGGCACAAAAACAGATACATAGATCAATGGAACAGAATAGGGAACCCAGAAATGGGCTCTGAACTCTGTGGTCAACTAATATTTGACAAATCAGGAAAGACTATCCACTGGAAAAAGGACACTCTCTTCAATAAATGGTGCTGGGAAAATTAGACATCCACATGCAGAAGATTGAAACTAGACCATTCTCTTACACCATACACAAAGATAAACTCAAAATGGATGAAAGATCTAAATGTGAGACAAGAATCCATCAAAATCCGAGAGGAGAACACAGGCAACACCCTTTTTGAATTTGGCCACAGCAACCTCTTGCAAGATACATCTATGAAGACAAGGGAAACAAAAGCAAAAATGATCTATTGGAACTTAATCAAGATAAAAAGCTTCTGCACAGCAAAAGAAATAGTCAACAAAACTAAAAGACAACCTACAGAATGGGAGAAGATATTTGCAAATGACCTATCAGATAAAGGGCTAGTATCCAAGATCTATAAAGAACTTATCAAATTCAACACCCAAGAAATAATCAATCCAGTCATGAAATGGGCAGAAGACATGAACATAAATTTTATCAAAGAAGACATAGACATGGCCAACAAGCCCATGAGTAAATGCTCCACATCACTTGCCATCAGGGATATACAAATCAAAACCACAATGAGATGCCACCTGACACCAGTGAGAATGGTGAAAATTAGCAAGACAGGAAACAATAAATGTTGGAGAAGATGTGGACAAAGGGGAACCCTCTTGCAGTTGGTGGGAATGTGAACTGGTATAGCCACTCTGAAAACCTGTGTTGAGGTTCCTCAAACAGTTAAAAATAGAACTTCCCTATGACCCAGCAATTGCACTGCTGGGGATTTACTTCAAAGATACAGATGCAGTGAAATGACATGACACCTGCGGCCCAATGTGTATAGCAGCAATGTCCACAATAGCCATACTGTGGAGGAGCCTTGGTGTCCATTGAAAGATGAATGGATAAAGATGTGGTCTATATATACAATGGAATATTATTCAGCCATTAGAAATGACAAATACCCACCATTTTCTTCAATGTGGATGGAACTGGAGGGTATTATGCTGAGTGAAGTAAGTCAATCAGATAAGGACAAACATTATATGGTCTC